CTTCCTCCGCCCACCCAGCTCCCGATCCCCCACCCGGGTCCCGGCCGCGCGCCCTCCCTCCAGGCTGCTGGCGCAGCGGGGGCTGCGCTGGGGGTCCCCCGCCCGGCCCGCCCTGCGCCGCGCTCACCCCCGAGAGGATGCCGATTCCAACTTGGATCGGGGGAGGGAACGTCCTGGATGCCGAGCGCCTCCCGGCTGTTTGCTCTTCTTTATTTGTTTTCTTCTCCGGGAAAGGAGGAAAACGGAGAGAAAAGGAAAGGGAAAGAAGCGGCACTGGCCGAGTCTGCCGGCGCCCGCTGGCTGCGCAGGAGCGAGGAGGGAGTCGAGGTGAGGGTCGCGCTCACTCTCTCCACGTTTTTTTTTTTTTTTTTGGCAAAGGCGGGGTCTTTTTGCAAACCAATGACACAACCCCACATGGGCCGGTCTCCCCCCCAACAGATACTCCTCACTACAAATCGGCTCTCTCGGGGGATTAGTGGCTGCGTGAAAGTGCACACAGGCGCGGTGGAGGGCGGGCGCGGCGGGCAGTCCCCAGCCCGCCTCGGCACGGCCCCGCCCGGGAGGCTCTCGGGAGGCGCTGGGGCCTCGGCGGCAAGGACCGGGGTCCCGCCGTGGCGGCTCGGAGTCCGCCCTCCGCTCGCTCTCCTTCCTCCTCCGCCCCTTCCACGTGGGGCCCGGGGCGGCCGGCCACGTGGGGGAACGCGAGCCTGGGCGGGCCTCGGCGCGGCTCTCCGGGGTGGCCTCGGCCCTGGAGGGCCCCCGCCGGTTCGGCGGATCCAGCCTGCCCCCTTCCTGGCTTCGCGGCTGCAACTTCCTCCTGGGCCGCGGCGCGGGCCGCTCCTCCTGCGCTGGCCCGCGGGGTCAGGCGCGGGGCGGCTACAGGGGGCATCGCGCACCCCAGCCGGACCCGCGAGGCCGTGCCCGGCAGGCGGCGGCGGCCGGGGACACGCGCGCGAGGGCCCTGCGTGCCCAGCTTGGGGCGGTGGGTTCCCTGCGAGAAGCGAAACATTTTACACAGTGAAAAAAAAAGTTCCTTCCTGTTGTCTGGATCTCGCTGGAGCTATTTTTAAAGGCTCGCCCGCCGCGGGTCGGAGGCCCGAGCCTCGCGGGACGGAGGCGCGCTGGGCCTGGCGGCTCGGGCTCCGGGGCGTTCGCGGCGCCCTTCCGTGGCCGGAGCCCACCTGGCTGGACGTCCTGCGGCTGGAGTCTGGACAGCGAGCGGGCAGCGGGCCCCGCACCTGGGCCGGATTCTGTGCGGTGCCCCGAGACGTCCGAGCGCGGCTCCGGAAGGGAGCCGGCGGCTGCGGGCGCTGTTCCCCCAGCGCCCCGGGACCCCAAACTCCCCTGCCTCCCCAGGGTTCCACCAGGCATCCTCCAGGCTCTAGGGATGAGTGGTGCCCTCAAGCTCGATTTGCTTAAAAACCATATTGAGATGTTAGGACCTGGATTGAGATGTTGAGAAGGAAAAGCGCGGGGAGGGGTCTGAGGTTGGGCTTTTGAAGGCCGCAGCCCGGCCATTCCGTGAGCCAAGTGGCTCGGTGTGGCCTCCTGCACCCCGAGAGACCCACGCCCCGTCTGGCTGGAGAAACTTACAGCCTGGAGTGGGGTGGGGCAGGGAGGAGCCGCTGAGCCGAACCCCTTTCGCGCCCGGAGAGCTGCGCTAGGCCTCGCGGTCTTTACCTTTACTTATTTGCTAAAGCGCACCCAGATGCCGCCTGCCTGACTGCAGTGCAGGGGCTGTGGCTTCTATGATTGTTTTATAATCAAAATAGATTTTAAAACTCGATTGAAGACCTCTCTCCTCTGATGGCATCGTAGGCCCAGGTCTTAATCTCTCCTAGTAACGAAGATGTCTGAAGCCTTAAAACACACACACACACACACACACACACACACACACAGCGCAACCCTAATAACTCGGAAAGAGACCAAGCTATTCGACTCAGCCGTCTGTAGTATTCTTTAGAGAATTCCCAGACATGTGTTCCCAGTTGTCTCCATCTTGTTGCGACCTGAGTCCCCCACAGACTCAGCTTTGCCTCAAGGTCATGATGCCTAACACTTGCATATAATCTGACCCCAGTCACCCCGAAATTGCTAGGATACCTGTACCCCCTTTTCGGAGTTTCTCGGGCATAAACTATAATAACTATACGTATACATTTTTCTACTTCTTTATTTCACAGAAGATCTTTGGTTCTGAATGGTTCTCACCAAGAAAGCAAAAAAAAAAAGTCAGCAGGTTTTCCATGTCACTTGTTCAATTTTCATGCCTTCTAGAGTTTGAAATCTGCCTTTGAAAATACAGGCTTCTTTGTTTTGAGAACATTGTAAAGAAGGCATCCTCAGAGCCGAAAATTATTTCTTGCTTAAGCCTGACACCCTCCTTGAATTTTAAAATATAAAACTCAGTTGCCGCCAACATGAATAATTTCAAGCTCTACTTGGTTTTTGTTTTTTTTTTAAATGTTGCAAATGAATAATCAAGAACCCAAATAAAAAATGGGTAAAGACATTTCTCCAGGGACAGTATACAACACACATTTTTTTTTTCTTTGTATCAGCAATTGAACTCAGAACCTTGCACTTGCCAGGCAGACACTTAAGCCACTGAGCTATCTTCCGGTCCCCTCCAAGGACACTATACAAATGGCCAATAAGCTCACGAAGAGGTGTTTAGCATCACTTAATAGGGAACTGCAAGTCATAATAAAACCATAATAAAATAGCACTTTGTATCTACTTGGATGGCTCTTCTCAACAAAACAGAAAACAAGTGTTGATGAAGGTGTGAAGAAATGCAAATTCGTGTGTTGGTGGGAAGGTAGAAGGGTAGAGCCACTGTGGAAAGCAGTACCTAAAAAACTAACCACAAAGTTACCATGTGGTCCCGCAATTTAAGCTGCATATGTGCTCCAAAATTGAAATTAGAGGCTCAAATGAATATATCTGCCCCTATGTTTATAGTGACACTATTCTCAATAGCCACAAGCTACTCAGCTATCAAATGCAGCGTGTGATGTGCACGCCTGTAATCCCAGCATTCAGGAGCTAAGGCAGTAGGCTCACTGTGAGTGTGAGGACAACCTGAGCTACACAGTGAGTTCAAGGTCAGCCTGCACTGAACTACATAGCAAGACCCTGTCTCCAAACTCAGTATCTATCAAGGAATGAATGGATAAATAATACATGGTACATCTATACAGTGGAATAGTATTCAGCCTTTAAAAGGGATAAAGCTTGGACACATGGGACAATGTGGATGAACCTTGAAAACAAGCTAAGTGATATAAGCCAGATGCAAAAAGACAAACAGCGTGTAATTCTACTTATATGAAATAACTATGATAGGTAAAATCATGAAAGTACAACAGCGATTGACTACCCACAAGTAAAGGAAAGGGGAATGTGCAATTATTCCTTGATGGTGACAAAGTTTCTGTTTGCAGTGATGACAAAGTTCTGGAAATAGTTGGTGGTGATGGTTGCATACTACTGTCAATATCCCTTTGCCACCAAATCATCATATCTATCTATCTATCTATCTATCTATCTATCTATCTATAGATATATAGATATATTAGTAAATTGACAGTATAAATAGTACAATTTTTCTCTGTGTGCCTTATCTTTATATACTATAGTTTTCAGGGCCGGGGATGTAGTTCAGTGGTAGAGTGGCTGCTTTCCATGTGCAAGGCCCTGGGTTCACTTCCCAGCACCATGAAAACATACACATGTGTGTACAAGCACACTTACAACAGAGGTACTGAAAGGCTTGTTTTTCAAGAGTCGGTGATCTCTTCCCATCTGAGTCTATTTAATTGGTCAGTCTGAATTCCTAATGTTTCAAAATGGGCTCTGACAGGCACAAAACAGCATTGCAAGAATAACAATAGCAGTGACAAATAGCAGCGCAGTGTTTGTCCTTGACCTGCCATGGTGCTCAGCAGTGTGTCCAGCACTTGATAAATATCTTCAGTCGACATAGCTGCCCCTTAAGAAAGACTAATATTATCTCCATTTTACAAATAAAGGACGCTAAAAGTCTAAGACTGAACGTGACTTCCCCAAGGCCACCCTGCTGGTGAGTGCAGAGCGGAGTCTAGACCCCTGTCCTCACACTGATTCCCTCCATTCTGGAAGAGCTGCTCTTTCCATAGCCATGCTGTAAATAGAGCTCCAGAAAA